CTTCTCGAGGAGGTCAACGGTGAGAGTGGTGGGGGAAACTGAGAAGAAGTGGTCCCTGACTACGCGGAGAGAGTCAGGGAGCCGGGTGACTATGTAGTAGAGGGTGATGTACATGGGGGGGGGGTGTTCTTGGCGCAGAACTCAGCAGGAAGCGCAGCGTGGTAGCGAGTGTCACTAGTGCGGAGGTGCGTAATGAGGTCAGCGATTGTGGGAAAGGAAGCAAGGTCAAGGAAGAGGTACAGTAGCATGAGGCGGCTCAGTGCAGTAGTGGCAGGGGAAGAGTAGCGTGCAACTACAGCGTCGTACAAGGTCTGAGCACTCTTGTACTGGCTAAAGTGTGCATGCTCAGTGGTCGGTAAGTGGCGGCGCACAGCAAGGCGAGCAGCAGCATCGCGCGTGGCTCACTGTGAGCGAACAGTGGCTTCAGCATCAGCAGTAGGGGCAGGGGAGGCACGAGAAGTGAGGTCAAACAGGGAGAGGCCGTCCGCCCATCGCACTGAAGAAACAGCTGAAGGTCATCGACCCAGACCTCAAAGTCAACGGCACGTCCCTCAGCATCAAAAGTGAGGACACTGGGGGCAGCCATGACTGCAGTGGCCTAGGAGGAAGTGAGCTCACTAGTCCGAGAAAGGAGGGGAGCACCGGTAGGAACAGCAGCTGCTAGACAGTAGGGCGGCTCGGCGGCTCGGCTGCAGGGCGGCTCGGCTGCAGGGCGGCTCGACGGCAGGGCAGCTCGGCTGCAGGGCGGCTCGGCTGCTGGGCGGCTCGGTGGCAGGGCGGCTCGGCTGCTGGGCAGCTCGGCGGCAGGGCGGCTCGGCTGCTGGGCGGCTCGGCTGCAGGGCGGCTCGGCTGCTGTGCTGCCCGGCGGCGGCGCCGCGGGTGACGGCGGGGCCGCAGGTGGCAGCGGGGCCGCAGGTGGTGACGGGGCCGCGGAGGGGCCGAAACAGGGCCGTAAAGGGGCCAGACGGGGCTGCAGTGGGGCCTAGGCGGGGCCGAAACGGGGCCTCAGGGGGCCAGACTATTATAGTCACAGTAGGCTCCAATGTGCCTAAAACGAAATATAGAGTGCACAGTCGGATTTCTGCACAGCGGCTTCAAACGTTCATATCGTTCTGGTCACAGCTTAAAATGACTTGATTCAACTTGGATCTAGAGCTTCTTATTGTCGCCTACAATATGCAATTTAGATCGCACAATTTGACCAAGTATTGACGACACAGCGTTGGTTTGAACGAACGGCACTATGGCAGCCACTATAGTCTTAGAACACAAGATAGAAAGAGTTAGGAAGAGTTACGAGTTGGGAATGACTCCCACCTCCTACAAAACCCAAGAGTCGAGTTACAGTGATGTGGAACAGTGCCACACTGTCCCCAACCACGAAGGGTCTCGAAAATACCCTTCACTAGGGCCTACACCAAGTGAAATGTTACACTACACAAAGTAATGTAACTATCTTCAATATCTTGAGGTGTACCCTTTTGGCGAGCTTCGAAATCACTTAAGGCTTGACACCAAGGCTCGGGCTCTTCATCACAAACTCATCCTTGAGTTCTTGATGGGTCTGCTGCGCACACCTGCGACACACCGAACGTTCGACACAGGACAAAATAGAAACCGCGCACGACAAAATAGAAACCGCGCGCGAGACACAAACGACCGCGTAACACGCGTCTAGCGATAACTCGCTATTGACTCAACACACACACTCGACATCATGACTCAACATTCACACACAATTATAAGCATGAAATATATATTATCCCATGCCCTCATCCAATTCCATACACACACACATGCATGCACACGGACAACAAGCCGAGTGCAAACCATAGGGTTGCACCAACAGTTCTATCCTCCCAGGACGTCACCTTTGACGAGTCGGTACCTTACTACCGTCTCTTCCCCTATCGCACTGCGCCTCTCCCCCCGCCGCCGCTCTTCCTTGCGCCAGGTCCTCCCCTGGTAGACCCCCTCTCCCCTCAGGGTCCTGCCCTGTCAGGTGTGTACCAGGTAGACGCAGTCGAGCCTGTCGAGGTAGCTGTTGACTCTGGTGCTGCTAGAGGTGCTGAGCCTGCGGGTGCCGGGTCTGGGGGTGCTGAGACTGGGGGTGCTGAGACTTGGGGTGCTGAGTCCGGGGGTGCTGAGCCTGGGGGTGCTGGGTCTGGGGGTGCGGAGCCTGGGGGTGCGGAGCGTGGAGGTGGGGAGCCTGGGAGTTGCGAGCCTGGGGGCGCGGGCTGCAGGGCCAAGCGCGGGCTGCAGGGGCGTGCGTGGGCTGCAGGGGCGAGCGCGGCTGCAGGGGCAAGTGCAGGCAGCAGGGGCGAGCGCGGGCTGCAGGAGCGAGCGCATTTGCAGGGGTGAGCGCGGGTTGTAGAGGCGAGCGCGGGCTGCAGAGGCGAGAGCGGCTGCAGGGCAGGGCGGCGCGCGGGCCTAAGGGCAGGGCAGCGCAGCGCGCAGATTGCAGTGCAGGGCTGCACGTCGGCCTAAGGGCATGGCCGAAAATTTTTACGGGCAGGGCAGCGCAGCGTGCAGGTTGCAGTGCAGGGCTGCACGTCGGCCTAAGGGCAGGGCCGAAAATTTTTACGGGCAGGGCAGGGTGGAACGTTCGGTGGGCCCTAGGAACAATCATGCTCTTATAACATGTTAGAATAGGAAGACTAAAATGATGAATGGCTAGCAACAGGGAGATACAAGTGTGAAACCCTAATTGGGGTTGTACCCTATACTGGGCACCTTACTGTAGCCTAGCAGAACTAAGAACATACAAATATGTTTTGACACCGATGACTCCACAACGTCGCTCAACATATTGTCGTCGAGCTGCTTCTTCGACAGCTCGACTAAAGTCGGCTCATGGCCGACTTCTCCCCTGTCCTCGGCACCCTTGCCATCCGCTTCACTCCCATGCCGACTTGCTCGATGGCACGTCTGCCGTCGACGATGCCACTGGCGAGCGCTATAGGCAACGCACCAAGTTTCCCCTCATCGATGGTGACCAACCCAGACGCCGGCTTAGGCAGGTCGGTGACGAGAGGCAAGGGAGAGACAACCGCGGATGGCGACGAGGCCGTCATCGGAGAGTCAGCGGGAATAAAGAGAGGAGGAGGTTGAGGGACGTCTTCAACATCCCCGTCCTCAACAACAAGCAACCGACCTAAGAGGGATTGGCGCGGAAACTGAAGTCCCATTCGAAGCCGGCCCATGCTCTGCCTTCCATTCCATCAACGACGTGGTCTCGTAGAAGATGGCATCGACAGTTGTGACCACTTTGTTGTCGGTGAGGCCGAGAACCTCCCAACCCTTGCTTTTCGGCGAGACCCCGAGATGGAGTCCTCAACGGGCCTTCGACGCCAACTTCCCACCGTGCTGCTGCTCGAGAACCATGAACTGCACCATGCAGCCCCACACGCGCGCCAACAAGAGGTCCGGCTACTTCTGGAACAACAGCTCGCGCGACGCCGTTCACGAAGGCAGTGAACCCCTTTCAAGAGAGTTGCGCACCTAGACAGCCTGGCCAAGGGCGAGGTGCCACCAGTGGTGCTTCAAGCTAATGTTTCAGGGTACGCATCAGTGTACATTAACAAAAATGCATTGCCAGTTTCAGTAAACGCTCCTAGCTTGTGTCAATCTTCCGGTCTTATGATACATTCAGGACGAGACATATCCCAAAAGAAAGTGTCACAAACGTATTTTGTTACTAATTGTGATATGCCTAAACAATAATCGTGACTAATTGTGATTCTCCGAAATGAATGAACAGTAAGTAAACAACCATTCTTAGTAAGACATCTGGCTAGATTGTTATTGTTCATGGTTTGGAGTGACACAATTAGTCACGAATAGTAGTCACAATTACTCACGAATACTGGTTTCGGAGTTTCACAATTAGTAAAAAAAATGTTTCTGACACTCTCTTTTGGGACATGTACATCCCGAATGTACCCTTAGAAGGAAGACCAAAGGTTGGTCAAACGTCGTGTCTTCCCGAAGGGCGAGGGTCCCAAACAATTACCAGTTCCAACTGCTCTGCGCCTGCCCGGCTCCGTGAGTTTGGAAGTTCAAACGACCGTCTGTTACCTAGAGCTGATGGGAACATCGACCTCATCTTCCTCTGGTCCTCGTCACACACGGTAAGTTTCTGCCTTCTGTTCACTCTCACGTGTATAGGCTGTGGTTTTGACAGGTCGGATTTTTCAATGCCGGAGGAATCCTTGCACTCCCCGCAATTCAGTGCGCCGCAACTCCCACCACCGTCAGCAACCAACTGTTCATTCAAGGTAAGCAGTCATTCGCGTGGATCCAGACGTCGTCCTTGGCAGGTTAATACGAAGCACGTTCCAGCGTGGCCCCATCACAATGGCGCGGTTCATGAATGACGGACTATCACTACTCCAAATCTCCACGGCCAGCTCATCTCTCCTTTCTCCACATATGAAGCACCCCAACTCCTGGCTCTCCAACACCATGCATGGGCTCGACGACGTCATCGCAGAGAGAAACCCACTCTGAAGGACAACTTCCCACTGCACAAGCAACACCACCGTGCTCCTCTCCTCTGGCCTGACTCGACGTGGAAGCAGGCTGGGCGTCACGCCATGGCTGTCTCACCTGAACTGCACCATGGTGCCACATGCTGGCGCCAGAGACCTCCTCCTACGTCAGATCGTCTCCCCAATCCAAGCGCCATGACCTCCGCTAAGCACGGCTCTGCCCATTCTGACGTAAGAATATGCCGATTCGTCTGCATGACTTGTTACTCAAGCCGCAATTGCAACCCTTGGTTCACCTTTGGTGCCACACACCTGTTCGCCCTCGAGAGACAGCGTGAGCCCCTCGGGGAATTCGCTTGCTTGGGCCTCCAGCCCAGCAACACCACGCATCTCGCTTTTTGTGCTTCTCTACCTCTGGATCTGAACGACCGTGCCGCGACGCGGTTGCACGAGTCTGTTCCCACCTATTTCTGTCCCTTTCAAGATTCATTCTTTTTCGTCGCTCACGTCATGGCCACTACTCGGGGCTTCGACGCAATAATGGCCGACAATGGAGTCAACGTTCCCTCCGTGAGCGACCTCTTGCCGGACGAGGGCCAATCGATGCCGCAGGTCAAGAAGATCTGCACGGGGGAAACCTCGTCAGCTGCTCGACCTGCTTCAGAGCCTATCACGGACCCGGCTGCCGACCCTGAAGCGGCTCCAGACCTCACCCTCAATGGCTTCGAGTCCAGTGCGGCGCCTGCGCTGGTGCTGGCTGGTCCCCTTGTGCGGCTGAGTCGCAATCGCGCTGTGGTCGGAGAAGTTGTCCGTAATCTAGTATGTGACACCCACACGTTGGTTACCATCATTTTTCTTGAAAGCTTGGCTGATACTCACTGCAGCAAGATCTGCAGCCATGTTCGCACTGGTCTGCGTCCCGCCTTCTTTCCGCATTCTAACCGTGTGACTCAGTTCGAATCCTCGCCCGGTGAAGTTCTTCGCCTTCCCTGTCGCTCGTATGCGCGGCTTGTGTTCCAGCTCCCCACACGCGACGATGCTAGGGGCTTTCGCGGAGCCTTTTCGATGACCTTCCATTACAACGGCGGTGCTGTCGAGCTGAAGCTCTACAACGATCCTGAGCCCGACTTCACTGCGGCTAGGGCCTGGGGTGAAACGCACCTTATCATCCGCAACGTTCCCTTCGGATACACAGTAAGCGCGATTCGTCAGCTACTTACGTCGAGCCATACGCAGGACGAGAGGAAGTGGCTGTTTGATGTCCGCGGCTTCCACAAGGCATATGACCCATACGAGGAAATCTCGCAACCTCAGATGATGGGGCTTCCCGTCGCGGAAATCAACAATCCCTTCTTCGAGAACATCCCCGCTGTGCTCTGGCTGGAGGGCGCCCAGCTTCCGATGATCATCAACCTGTCATGCCACTCCAATAACCACCGGACGTGTGACCATCAGTGGTTTGCGGCGACTCGCCGCAAGAACCTCCCCAACCGTTACACGATCACGATCGCCCAACTGCAGAATGTCACTGGTATGCAGCTGGGTGCACTTGCCTTGTTTCCTACACGGTCCGTCCCGCACCTGCCCATGTCTCTGCCTGTTTTTTACGCCTCACATGCTTCTCTTACCTTCCTGTCTTACTGTCCCGTGATGCACTTCTTTCGCATTGCTGCCCTTGACTATGTGCTTACGGGCTCTGGACCGTTGCACTTGTTTATAAAACTTGCGCAGCAGATCTCCTGCTCGTCTCCCGCCTTGTCCCCTACGGTAGATAGCGGATGGGCCTCGTCTGTCAAACCAGCCAAGCTACTCGGACAGACTCCGGTGCCTCTGGCAGTCAAGGCCGACCTTGGGATCTTGTACATCGCCTCTAAGGACGATGTGGAGCTCTGGACGTGTGCGATCTGCGACTTCGAGTGTGGGCCTGCTCTAGACAGTGCCTTCACACACATCCGCTCCCCTGGCCACGGGCTTCAGCTCATGCAGACGGAGAACCAGCCTACTGCCCTGGAGACCTTGGGCCCTCTGAAGGCACACGATCTGAGGCAACGCAAGGAGATCACCTCATTCCTTGCGTCACTAATGTAGATCGCTGCTGCAAGAACATTTCTCAAAATGCCTTACCCTGCCGTCTGAGCCCGGCACTGGCTCTGTTAGGACGTTTGATGGTGGCCTTGTGCTAGCTGTACCTCGTCTTTGAAAATGTTCGTTCTTGCCTGGGTAACTCCTTGCTTGCTAGCATCTCCCAATTCGTGGGCACAATGGCCAAAAACAACCTCACCTCATGGTACTGTCTCCTATTTGTGAAAAACCATCAGCTCCCACCTACCTCTATACCATGTCTCATAACCAACCACACATCTCGCCATAAGCCTCTCATATGGACGTATATCATGATGGTACTAGCATCTTCCCCGTGGATGTGTGCACCTTGGTGCAGAAGGGGTTTTTGTGTATCACCATGTTAGTAACCATCACCATCTCCTGCCTCAATATCAACAGTCTTAACTCACTGCAAAAGATGGACGAGATTCGAGCATCATTTGTGAGAATGCCTGATATTTTGGTCCTTATTGATACACGCCTCACGCAAACCTTCCCCAAACTCATACGCAAATTCCGCCCAAAGGCATATGCTCACCTACTATAAGCAACGGGACTGCTAACCCAGGAGGTATCACGATGATGATTTTCAATCCAGAAATTTCTATCATTGACCGAGCCTCATCGGATGATGGTACACATACGTCTACTACATGAACAATTCCGGTGCTTCTGTGTTTACGACCCCAACAACCAACCTGAAAGACGGCGCTGGTGGGACACCAAGCTTGACTCTGCACTCAACATTGCATCTGCCACGTAAGCAACAGTGGTTATGGGGTATTTCAATGTTGTCACCGCCCCTATTGACCGCAACAGAGAACTTCGTGCCTCAGAGATACGAGAAGGCGCTTTACTCACCTCTATCTTGGAAAAACACAGCCTAGCTGACCCCTTCAGAGCCCGTCACCCTGATGCGGCAGAATTCACCTTTGAGTCTTCATGCTCAAGCAGCACTACAGCGGACCCGCCCTCCTCCCGCCTAGACAGGATCTACCTCTCCAGCGCATGGCTTCCACGGGTCCTAACTATCTCGCACCATTCGGTGGGACACTCTGTCGCTGACCACTCGCGCTATCCTGAATTGCGATTAGGATTTACTAATCCGAATTGCGCCCCCCGCGCCTGGAGGTTGCCCCACTCCCTTATACACAAAACTTCATAAGCTCACCCTCGAAGCCTGCACAAACCGTCCCCCCATGCTTCGCGCTGTGGATTGGGACCCTTGGAAGAAACGGCTCTGTCTTTTTCTGCGCCAACACACTCGCGAGGAACGCCTTCGGGTACAACACGCGCTGAATCACCTTCAAAACCAAATCTGTCAACTCCAACTGACCTTGGTGCGCTCCCCACAGGACAATGATGCCCGCACAAAACTAGACAAAACAACTAAGCAGTTTGAGAAATACATTGCCAGCAGAGCATACAAAATCGCGCTTAAGGCCAAACTTAAGGTCGAGGGCGCCAATGAAATGGGGCTACCCTCCCTCCTAGTCGGTCTCACGTCACGTATCAAAGCCGCACACATTCCGCACCTTACCCTCCCATCAGGCGAATGCATACAAGACCTGCCAGCCATGTCCGCGCATTGCACCAGTTTTTATACTACTCGGTATAACGGACAAAGCACGACCTCCCCATCTCCCAGCTTCTGGACCCACATCTGTCCTTCCTCCCTCCCGCAACCACTGCTGTCGCGCCTGGCAGCTCCAATCTCGCTTCCGGAAGTTAGACGTGCTTTGAAAAGCCTTGCACGCGGAAAAACACCTGGACCCGATGGCCTTGCAGGAGGCTTTTTCCGTGCGCATTCGGAACTAATGGCGCCTGCGTTGCACCGACTCTTCACCGCCATCGAACACTCGCACACAATGCCTCCCTCCATGCTACACGGTCATACCGTCCTCATACCCAAACGCGCTGACGCCGCCTTTGTCGAAAACCTCAGGCCTATCACCTTAATGAACTCCGACTACAAAGTGCTCGCTCTCTGCCTGGCTCAACGGCTTCAGCTGACGCTGTGCCGACTCATTCACCCCGCACAATCGGCGTTAATCAAAGGCCGGCGCATTGGCGACACCATAAACGACACGCTTGACCTCCTAGAATGGGCTGAAACAAGACAACTCCCCCTCGTGCTCGTCACAGTCGACATCAAAAAGGCGTATGACATGGTTGACCGTGACTTCCTATACCAATGCCTTTCCCAACTCGTGCTACCCAGTGAACTCGTTTCATGGGTAAGACTGTTACACACTGGCACTAGCACGCAAGTCCTCGTAACCTGGCTGGCCCCTCATTCCCCGTGCTTACCGGCGTATGGCAAGGCTGCCCCTTGGCGCCTCTGCTTTTCATATGTGTCATATAGGTCCTACACCGCCACCTTTCGGTCTCTCTCCCTGAATTTGCTCTCTCACCTACGCAACGCCATCTTGCGGCATGTTACGTAGATGACATGTCACTCTTTCTCAACTCAGGCAGTGAGGTACAACTGCAATACACCTCCTACAGACCTTCGCAAAGGTCTCCGGCGAACACCCCAATTGGTCTAAGTGCTCCTTGTCAATCTTCCATGTTCCCCCTGGCGATATCTCTCCCGCGTGTCCCATTCCGTTGCGATAGCCAAATGAGGCTGAGCGTAGTCTGGGAATTTACATTCAATCTGACGCTCCTGGGACAACCACATGGGAAAAAATCTCGAGGACCATTCGCAATACCGCTTCATACTTCTCCAAAATTCATGCCACTGTCACTTCTCAGTCTGCACTGAACTCCGAGCATCTCGTACCACAATTCGCCTTCGGAGGCCGCTTCCAGCCACCTCCTGAAGGGGTCACGAAACAACTCGACACTATAGTTGGCAACTTGCTCTCCACCTCTAAATATTGCGCTCAAGGAGGCAATACGCGGCTTGTCCCCAAGAATTACCTCTACAACAAGCGCTGTCTCGGGGGAGTTGGGGCGATTGAACCTTCCAAATATCTGCAAGTGCTCAACGTGCAGCGCGCTGCAAGACACTTCCTCCCGACCCCCATGGAAGAAATCGCCAGATCCTGCTGCTCCCTACCTTACGGGCTGCACTGCTTCCTTGCACATAAAGACATACTCAAATTCTTACCCGACACCACGTCGGCACGAGCCGTGGCGGAACTCACCGCTACCCTTGAGCTCCCGACGGTGGTCCAACCCCCTCGGCTTGAACCATGGGTGCTTATGGCCGAGCCCCTAGCATTCAACCGCAAGATAGTCCGGACCCATAAACGCCCCTTGGACTCATCAAAGGCGAAAAGTTCTTACTCGCCAAGGAGCTGAGACTCGGCGACCTCCTCGCTCCCACAACCGCAGGTGCCCGCAAACTTCACAAAAAAGAAATCAAAGCCAATTTCCCACACCCAAGGAATTTCCCGTGGCACTCAGGATCATCCTGGACATCTACCACGCGGTTCCTAAGACATGGTGGCCGATCCTCCACGCCTTCGCACCACCACCAAATTACCTGGCGGCTGGGGAGTGGGCCATTCGAGCCTCCCACGGCCCCGAGATGTCATCACAGGTGCTACAGGTGAAGGCGGTCCTCCCCAACAAGATAGCGCGGTTCAGGTGCTTCAGCGTCACCAACAAGAGGATCGCTGAGCACCCAACAGAAACATGCATCCTTCCACTCACCAAAGCTATTCCCGTCTTCGACCGCAACGGCTGGCTGGCAGCCACCTTCTGCTCTGGAGCAGGTCTTGGTAGCAGACTCAAGATCCTGCAACACTGCTCATCCTTATCATCCATTCGGAAGCTCCTCTACTCCAAGAAGACGTTGTCACATGTTGATCAATGGAACGAGATACTGCCGACAGCACTCGAGTCACTTCCGTCCCTGACACAACCTTTCTTCGCTGAACAACCCAGTCGCCAGAAGGATGTACGGTATTGGCTCTACATCTGCTCACTACCATGCGGGACAAGAGTACCCTACACCCCCCTCGGACGAAATTGCATGCGGTGTAACGACGGGACGCCTGAAACACTCACACACATCTTCAACGACTGCGGAAACGCACCTGCTATCACCACGGCTCTACAGCGCACCACCCGTGCACATCTTGGCATATCGCTGCCTGCTGAGCTTGCGCTTTTCCCGCCGCCAACCCCTACCGGCCAAGTCGCGCCCTTTAGTCTACTTTTTGGGGCCGCCGCTAAAGTACTCAGGAATGAACGCTGTGACGCAGTGCATCACCAGACTGAGACCTACGAGCTACAATCGCTTCACACAGTCCTCGCCATTTTTCTCCTGGCGTGCAAAATCTACTTCATACGTCGGTCCAAGGCCTTGGTTAAAAAACAAAAGAAGAGCGCATTGAGGGTCAAGCTCGGTATCCAACGACGTCTCTTACATTTCGACTCTGCTGGAATCCCATCTCTGCACCCAGATCTACGAAACTCGTGGCTTCGAAGGGAAATTTTCCATCCCCCATAAAGAGCTCTCTTGGTATAAGGAGGTGTTGGACTAGTGTAGCATAAGCTGCACTTGCTTGCTAGGCAGGGCAAGATTGCACCGTACGACGCAAGCCTTTTAGGTTTGAGATCTCTCATTCTTGCTTCAACACTCTATGTGTGGGTTATGTAAGGAAAATTGCTTTTCCTTACTTCGTGTCCCCGTTCAGCGCGTACACCACTTTAGCACCACAGTCAGCACCGTTACCACTTGCAACCCTCGCATCGACAAACCTCCCGCCACCTTCACACGTCGCACCCTGACCTCACGGCTCGGCGAGTAACCCGTGCTACGGACCTCTGCTTCGACATTTCCCCAAACCTCAGTCCTAGGCCCGTCGCGCGACAACCACAGTCCATTACCGTTACCACGGTAGTGTCGCTATATATTCTTCGCTCATGCCTTCGCTCATTGTACTCTTGCTTCGATTGTGCAATTTTTGCTCGATCACTCAATTTCACTCGTAATACTTGGTATTCACAGCCTACGATCTCTTCTCAGA